AGCCAATTCATAGAGGGGGATAAATTAAGGCAACAGAGCCTCTGTCTCTACCTGTTTTTTTTAATGCACTCATACCCTCATACAGCTGTCTATCTATCTTCTATCTACAGTGCTTTGCAAAAATATTCAGGCTCTTCCAGCTGGGCTGTCCCATTTTGTGAAATTATAAAATGGTGCACACACTTATTAAAACCTAATATTATATTCCAATCCGGAATGCTTCAGTTGAAGACTTCTAGAGGAAGAATGTGCTCAAGCTTATTGGGGATCCCTTAAGTCTTTCAGCAGATTCCAAGTCTTTCAGCAGATTTTCAATAGGGTTCTCAGACAGGATTGGACTTTATGGTTGAGTCTTTGCTTGAAATTCGCTGCCTGACTGAGGGAGCTTACAGAGATAGGGGTATTTATTCTGAAATCCTGTGAACCCCTATTATGGCCCCGCATCGATGTGTGTGGTTTGGAAATGTGTGCATCTAAATTCATTTAGGTTTGCCACGGCAAAGATTCTTCAGTTATGTCTTTTCTATTTTTATTTGACTTCATCCGTCTACTTGTTTATTTTTTTTGCCTTGAATATGTAGAGTAGGTTGTGTTAACAACAATCATTAAACGCCTCCTCAAAGTGTTAGGACTGCAAGCTTTAAAGTCACAAAATGTGAAAATTGCACAAGGGCCTGAATGATTTTGCAGTATCCATCTTCTCACACCTGTCTGGCTAGCTTCTATGTACTGTATCTGTCTACCAATAAACCTTCACACCTGTCTGTCTCCAGCTCTGTTTTGTTTTCGTACACCTCCATGCCTGCCTGCCTGTCTGTGTTTTTATTGTGTATCTACTCTTCAACTGCCTCTACTTGTGATTCATGAGTTTTCCTGCAGCAATTGCCAAACCTGGCATTTGGTTGCATTACAAGATCCTGGTTAGCAAGTCATGGTTACTTCAATGCCATGAGACAGTGACCACATCCATCTCAGGGCAATCCAGCGCAGTGCTCTGTTTGCCAGTTTGCCTGTTTCTTCAAGTCAACCCTTGTCCTGCCAGTGACTCAGCAGGCAGCTCCTGAAAGCCCTGAATTACAAAGATAACTTCTCCAAAAAAAAAACTACAACAGGTTTCTGTCTGTTCATTGCATCATAACTGTAATCATGAGTGGTGCCAAACCATATAATCTATCCTTCTTTAAAACGTACATTTGATCCAGTGTTTTGGATACTTTTTTGTGCTGTACATGCTGCAACACACATACAGTATATGTATTCGGTATAAATAAAATATAAATAAAAACTGTGATTACTGTGCCTGCAAAAAGGCCTCTGTCTGTGAATTGTTGGAAAGACCAATTTTATGTAATCCTAGAATATTGCATCAGAAGATGAGAAAGGCCTGAGTCTGTCTGGCCCCTGGAGCTTGGCTGGTTTTATTATTCAATTGAATTAATTGAATTAATCTTAATGGCCCCTAAGAGAATTTGTCTTGCACATCAAAATCCTCGTAAACACATAACAATACAATGTTACACACCTCCCACACCTGAAGAAGGCTCCACGGCCGAAACGTTGTGTTTTTCTCTCTTCTTTTTTTCAGCATGGAATAAACCTATTACTTGTTCCTTAACAATACAATCGATCAACAATACCACAGCATTATTCCAAATAGTGACAACATCACTCAATCAGGGTGTACCAGTACCACAAAGATTTAAAAACAATTAATTAGCTTATGAAATGTCTAAAAAAAATAAAAGTAAGATCCCTTCCTGCCTAAATTATTATATTATCTGTAGTTGTAGGGCCAGTATTGGTGCTCCTGGGAACAGGCGAGAGTTTGAAATTTCCTCTTGAAACACCGCTTCCTAGAAAGGGACAAATTACAGTTGCCAATCAAACCTAACCAGTACAAGTTTGGGAGGATGCTGGAGAAATGGGAGAACACCAGTTCAAACACATGGATAACATGTACGCTCCACACACACAGAAGCCCCGATTTCGAATCAGACCAAGGCCTTGGGACCTGTGAGGCAGTGGCACAGATTGATCATTTTCACTGTGGCCTTTTATACCAATAGAAGTGAGTAGAACAGAGAAGAGAGGTGGAGCAGGAGACTGTATTACACAGAACATTCATCCTGGTGTTCCCTGTAACCTGTTGTAGCTACACAGAAAGAGAAAGAGAAAGAGAACCTTTACTCATTTTTCTGTTCGTGGCTTCAGTGAAACAGAAAACAAAACGGGTTAAATGTGGAGGTCGGTGTCTCTGTCTGTTTTGTTCCAGCCTGCCATGCTGGTGCTGCATCACAGGGCATGTGTACAGTGGTGACAGGATTGCTCCTTCTTAAAGTTTCCGTGAGTGTTACACTCGAACCACCATTATGAAACGATTTCCTTTTGACGTTAATATATTCCTTTAAAAGGCAAAAACTTTTTTTTGATCTGATCAGATCGATTAGGATGGGCAACCCCCATAGACAAAACAGGCCGCTGCTGTAAGTGGCATTGGTGGACCAGTAGGGGTCACTCTTCCCCCTGGGCTGGAATTTCCCAAACAATGCTTCTTCCTTCGGATGACATGTGAAACCAAGGTCCTGAGGTCCTATCTGGCACTGTTGTAGCAGGCGTTAGTAAAACCTATGGCAGTTGTAGTAAAACTAGGAGTGTTAACTGCTGGAGTTGGATGCTGTACATTGGTGGTGGTGGAGGGGAGTCCCCAT